GTTGTTGATATTTTTTGGCTTTAAAAGGCTCAGCTTGCCAGGATATAACTCACGTGGCCATGTCATAAATAACACAGGATTTACAAGCTTTCTTTTTTATATATATTTACTCAATTATATTTGGAGTTTAAAGAATAGAAAGCCCAATTAGGGCAAAATGAAATATATTTGCACTTTGCATAACATTTATATAATATATATTATTGCAAGTTCGGCAATAGTTGTTTGTGTCATGGCTGCAATATTTTAAATTAAATAAGTTTCCATAACCTTGCAAATATTATACAATTAAGAGCATACAGCTTTTACGTTTAGCTGAGCATCATTTAAAACTCAGTTCTGGGCTATATCTTTTTTCTGTCTGAACAAAGCGCACGACAAGTGCTTGTATAATTGAGTTAAATTAAAAAAATAAAAAATAAAACCTGTAAAGTTATTTGCAGAATATACAAACGCTTTGTTATTGTGACAAATTGTCGAAAACAAGAGAGAAAAAATGGGAATACAAAAAAAAAAGAAATGAGACAAACTAAAATACAAAAACAAAACAAAAAAACGTGGCAACGAGTGAAGGCCTTCTAAAAATCCTTGCTCTCATGCCACATGCTGCACTCGCTCCGCCTCGGCTGGGGGCAGTCATGGCTCGTGGATTTGAATAATTGTGCAGCAGCGTGTAACGGCACATGCAGCAGAGTTTATTGCATTACGGCTGCTCTCCAGCTTCTTGCTCTCTGTGTTTGTGTGCGAGTGTGTGTGTGTGTGAGCGGGCTGCAGGTATGTGTGCGTATTTGTTTGTAAACTTATGCTCATATGTGCGCTAAATTTTTTATTGTTATATGCACAACAAAAACACACAGAAATACACACATGCATATATATTCATTTCTATTTGTTGTTGCCACAAAGCTTTTGTTGTTCAAATTAAAAATGATTTAGATGCCAGCAAATTGAGTTCACTTTGGCATTCGTTTTTATTTCTGCTGGCGTGTTGTTTAATTGTTTGATATTTTCACACACATGCACGCGCACATTCACACAGATAGACACAAAAATATTCACACATAGATACGCAAATATGGAGACAGTTTTATTTTAATCAAGCCTTGTCATTGTTTTATTGTTGATTTTGTTTCGTCTAGCCAGCTAAAGAACTTGCAATTTCATGCTTTTGTGCAGTTTTACTTTAGTTAAATTGTAGATTCACAAAGAAAGAGGAAAAAAGTGTTTGCTGTTGCCTGCAAAACAGTTATCTGAATGCTAATTGTTGTCATAGTGTGCTAACGCCTAAACGTATGCTACAAAGTTTTTAAAGAACGACTTTAGTGAAATTTGTGTTGCTTGTTCAAGCAATTGTGAAGCAATTTCGCTTACTTTAAATGACCTCATGAAAGAGTGAAATTTAACCCACACAAAATGGAATTTGTGGAATGTGCGCACACACACACCCACACACATTTAAGCACCGGATGTGCCATTTTGGAATGCCACAAGAAAATGGATAACGGAAGAAAAAAGGGTCATGTTGACCACAAGCTGGCTACTAGTGTGTTCTCAATAGCAATAGCTCTTTCATTCCGCCAAGTAGACGTAGCTTCTTTTCTTAGCTCTAGTTAAGTGTGAGTTCGTAAAGGCGAAAGTGTTTTTGGGAATGTCCCATTTGCGCTGTTAATTTTATCAGTTTTAACGCTGCGTACTTAGGCTTCACTGGGCAAATTCATTTAAAGCAAAGTTTGCGTCATAAAACTCGCATATTGCCAGCATCTTTTTTTATGGTCTGTCTCCAGCTCCTGCTACCCAGCAATTGCCGAACAATTGAATCCATTCGCAACGGTTCCGCTCGGCTATTTCATAATCAAATACATAACTTTATTAATGCCCCGCTGCGTGGCACATAAAGAAAAAAATAGACGAAGTTTCGTCCAAAAATGTTGCTTAGATTGGCGTAACAATAAATTTTCCATTGTCTTAGGCGCGGGCAACCATAAGGGAATGCTATTTGTTGAGTGTGCGAATGTTGCCGCATAAATAAAAATATAATTGAGTTGCCCGTCAGAGCTTGTGCGACGCATGTGTGTGTGTGTGTGTGCGGGCGGACAATATTGATTTTGGGTCAAAAGGCCCTCTGCTCTGCTGCCCAACTAAATTAGCTGCTATTAATTGATCAATCGCTCAGTGTACACAATTTTTTGTTGCTTTTTTTACTGGTTACCGCACGGGGCTGCTTGTGGCGGGCGGGTTCGGGTTCGGTACTTAGTTAGTGCCAGGGATTCAGTTGATTAAACAGCTCGTCGCATTTGCTGAATGCATTTCACCCATTTTACAATTTAATTGCATTGGTAAAACTTTGTGACAAGCAACAAATTGCCAGGGCAACTTTTGCCCAAACCGTACTCTTTGTTATTGCATCGGTAACAGCCACATAACTAAATTAAAATTGTTTGTTATAAAATGTGCTGTCACTGAACGTAAACGCTGAGGTACTCAGCTTTAAAAAGTTTTAAATATTTCCGGCGTGCTGGCACTGTTAAATTTAAATTGCATTTATTGTTTTGATTTCATAATTGCTCTCTGCTCGTGATTGGTAACGTATTTCAACTATTTACTTTGGTTGGGTTTCAGTTTGAAAAACGGGAGAGAGAGACTTACAAAGCAATATGATTTTTAATACTCGTTACCCGTTGTGCCTTTGTCGACTCGCTCTGATCGTCGTTTTGCAAATTGAGTAAAAATTGTAAATATTTCTTTGGTAAATTTCTTATTTACTCCTTACTCGTTGAGTTTTCGCCGTCTTGCTCTTGTCGTTTCTTTGCAAAATGGTTCAGATTATATATGGGTTTCCTTGAATTCATTACTCTCTTGTCTAGTTAGGGCCATCTAACATTTTCTGGGTGACTCGTTACTCGTTACTTTCTGCTCGTTATGCTTTCGCCGTCTCGCTCTTGTCGTTTCTTTGCAAAAGGGTTTAGTATACAGCTGGTTTTCGTTGCACATGTTACTGTACCATTTGATAAAACTCGTAAAGTCTTCTCTTTAATGTATTTAATTTTAGCATATGGGGTTTCTGTCTCTGGCCTTGCATGAAGCACCTGCCCATCAATCACTTAACCATACAAAAATGGCACCGCATACAAATCGCAATTAATTTTACCTATTCGTATGTCTCTGCCCGCCCTTAGTCTGTAAATGTGTATGCATTGTATATTTGACTGTGTGTTTCTGATGCCCGGCGAGAATTTCTCCTGGTTACACTGGCCAAGGCCGGTTGCTGTGTTTGCATATGAAGGGACTGCGGATTGTGAGGCGGCTGGAGCTACAGTTGCAGCTGGCAACTGGATACACGTCATCGCAGTCAGCCTCAGAGCAGTTTGTCTGCATGTTTGCTTGCATGTCAAATTCTCATTTCATTGAAATTGACAAATATTGACTAAGAACTTGTGTGCAATCAACGCTGGTTACGGTGGCGGCGACAAATGGGCGTGTGGTAGCTTCGTAGCCAGGAAGGAGACGAAAGCGGCCAGGATATCTGAGTGTACATATTTGCCGTGGCAATGCCAATGCTGCTGCTGAAAGTGAAACTCAAGTCAACGCATCCAATGAAAGTAAGCGACAGTTTAAAGCTGACTTTAAGAATCCATCAAAGTAGCTGTGGCTGTCACGACAACAGACTACGCAACTTTCAGACCAATAAACTAAACTGTAAACGGGCACTCAAACCAAAACGGAGCTGGCTGGATAAGGCTCCAGCTGAAAATGTTAAGGCACCTGGCTGGCTGGTGGCAAGTCTTTGCTTTGATGCCAACCTTTCGGTTTTTGTGCAACAAACAAAACACCTGGGGAGCGAGTCAAAAAACAATTTACGCTCATTATCATTTCAGCATGTTGTATGCCCAAGTGTTTCAGATTGTTCAAAAGAGCTAGACAGTGAGCAAGCCAGAGTGAGAGAGAGACAGTGCGAGTTATAGAGAGAGAGAGAGAGAGAGAGAGAGAGAGAGAGAGAGAGAGAGAGAGAGAGAGAGAGAGAGAGAGAGAGAGAGAGAGAGAGAGAGAGAGAGAGATGGCAGAGGCAGCGGAAACTCTGATGAAGAAATTTAAAACACATTGTTGCTGTTGCTGCTGCCGTTTTGGCCTTGTTGTAGTTGCTCATAAATGCGCCATGAATAAATTAACTCGCTGAAAAGCAAAAGCCAGTTACAGCGTTTGGATTTCATGCGAATGATAATAATAATTGAGGCAGCAGCTACAACAACACTCACAGACAGGCACACCCACACACTCACATTGTTAAATTATAACAGTTTGGCAAGTTTACACTGCAAGAAATTTACTTGAAGCCGCTTTGTGGCAGCTTAAAGTTTTACTTCTTACCTTTATAGCTGACAGCACTTAAGCTTTTCGCTTTGCAAATAACAGACTTTCTTAAGCACTTTTTTTCAGCTAAATAGCTCTTAAGCACTTACCCATGACATTTTCAATTGCTTACATTTCTATTAGTATTTATATGAATGAAAACTTTTTCCATATATAAATAACATAATATCATTGACTATTTGGCTTACTTGCTCGCACTCTCTCATTTACTAGGTCCGCCGCACAGGAGTGCACATAATCTTTAATTACGCCCCTCTATACGATTCTCATAAATTCTGGTAAGGCATATGGAATTTTTTTTTGACTTAAGTTTTGAAGATATTTTTCTATATGAGTCCCCCTTTGTTTGTTTTCCCGTGAATATATATTTGTTGTAAATAGCTTTATCAAAGTTCTTCCTTCTTTGACTTAATTCCAGCATTTGTTTTGTTGCTTTTGTAGACTTTGTTTTGTTGCATTAAGTGCTTGTTGTATTTTTCTAATTGAGTCTCTCATTGTGTGTTTTTCTCGTGAATACATTTTGTTGTTTGTTTAATGAAGCCTATAAAACAACCTATATTCGAACTTTTATTTGAAAGCAGTCAACATTTCATAACTTAGCAACCGTTTTGTTGGCGTGTTACTAGACAACAATGTTAGTTTGTAGAAAGCAATAGCTTAGTCGACTGGTAGCTAACCCTATCTGTGAGCTGATCTAAGCTCTGCCTACACATAATGCTAACTTCCCGGAATTCAAGGCACTCCTCGTCGGTCAATCCAAAGTCGCGTCTAACTCGCAATACGAGGCAGCCATGCTTTACGTTAAAGCGTCCGCTGGTCTTTCAGGTGCGTAAATCGCTGGTGGAGTATGTGGACGAAGAGCTGCTGAGTATGGATACATCGGTTTTTTATCAGCGCATCTTCATACTGGCCAAGAATGTGGATCCGAAACGTGAGAGCATTCGGCCGCCTGCGGCATTGGAGAGTCGGGGAAGCACTGAAACGGTTCGCTCGGCTGTGGATGGAGACACAGCCACGTTGCGCACCGCCGAGGCTATAATGGCTGATGATGAACCACATTACTCTCAGCAAACCACGCCCGAAGGCTCAGAGGCAAAGGAACCCCTCGATCAGCCAACAGAGCGATTGACAGTTAAAATCATGGCTCAATTGGATCCGGATATGGAAACAGTGACGCGCACATTTCGATTTGACGAAGAGGAAGATGTACCAGTGGAGGCAGAGGTAGAGGAGCAAGCGCCCGAGCCAGAGGGGCCTGAGCATCCCAAGGACAGGTTCACGCTGTTCACAGAGATGCTGCAGGAGCTGCACAAAAAATGCCGTAATCTCTCCTATACGCCCGATCCCATGTGCGGTCTAGTTGTCTACATGAACGAATACACCATGCTGATGCTGGAGAGCGGTGAGGACATGATGGGCATCTTTTGCCGTGAACTGTTGGAGTGCGTGCATGAGTACTGGCAAAGTAATCGCGTCTTTCTAATTGAGGATCACATCAAAGAGGTGAGCAGCAGCAACCTGTTGCCTTCATCCATCTAGCCATGATAACTGTTCAATTCGATAGCTCTACACCAAGGAACTGTTGTTCAGACGCATACCTGCTGCCTTTCTCAATGAGAAGTTTCCGCCATCAACGCCCACGGATGAATATCTGATGGGGAAGCAGCATTTGATCATTAAGGAGAAATTGACTACTATTTGCACTCTGATAAGCGAAAGCATCGATCCGTGTCGCACGACAAACGTGTCACAGCAAGGTTCGACTGTCCTAACTGACATGTCCGTGGCAACCGATATCTCTGAGTTGGATGGTGGTGAAAGTGATGGGGAGCCAAGCATGCATCCCAGTCGTTCCAGCCGTTCCAGCCGTTCCAGTCGTTCCCTTAATCAAGAGCAACGCTTGACTGGGGCTATTTCGCAGACATTGCCGGCGGAGATTTTCCGGAAGTTGCTGCCGGAAATCCAACGTATTGAACTGGTGCTGTCCTCTACGCGTTTCTACTACACGCTCGAAGAATTCTACGCGCTGTATGGCAAGGTGCCATTCGGACGTGACCACGATGGCCTCTTCTGGCCCATACAGAATAACTACGCGCCGCCGAACATCTTCCGGCGCACACCATTCGATATCAACTTGACCTTTGCGGAATATGCGGCCGAAATGAAACAACGCCTGCAGGAGGAGCTGGAGAAAAATAAGGCCGAGCTGGAGGCAGCTGCTGCGGCTGAGGCGAGTGCCGCGGCAGAGTCTCAGCCACAGGCACGGGGTCAGCAGAAACACAAAGAGGAGGAGCCAAACGATTGATAAAATCGACAGCATATACGCAATTTGTTTTTGTTCAGTTCGTTTTAGTTCGTGGTTGCAAGTAATTGCGCTCAGTGTAGACACATCATTGGATATTATCAACATGACTCGTTGTCGCTCTTATCTACCAAAACTCGCGTTCGGTTACAATGTTTTCGCTCCTGTGCACATGACTGCATTCAATGGGAAGGCGGTGGCTCAGCCGCGGCTCGACTGTGGCTGTGGCGGCTTACTTGTTTTGGCTTGCCACTTGAATGGCTCGACTCTGTTAACATAAACATAAATTTGTGCACATCCTTAAGAAGACAAACAACACACACACAGACACATTAATACACATGTGCTGTGGGCTTGGGCTCTTAACATAAACCGCAACAGACGCCAGCTGTCACTTCTAATACCGTTAGCTTGCAGCTGTCAAAAGCTGTTGCTGTCATTTTAAGTCACTTGACAGTCCAAAAGGCAAATATTCCAGCACACACGCACACTCGCATTCACATCAGATAAGCAGCCCACATGCACATAATTATAGCTGCTCAAGATTTGGTTTTACAGCATTCAAGTGTAAGGCTTAAAATTCACAACTCGTTTTGGCATAAATAATATTCAAATTATATGTATGGGATTAGTTTTAGTTTTGTGGCTGCAAATGTAATAAAGCTTAGAATGGAGCGGAAAACGTGTTTAGAAATTGAGCTAAAAGGTTAATTAAACTTTTAGGTGAGCTGCAAGGTTGTTTGACACGCACACGGGCTGCCAGTCGGCTGCTGCAGGACATGCACTGACAAGGACACAATTCAATCAAGCGCCACAGCAGCAACAGCAGTGGCAGCAGTGGCAACAACAACGGCAACGAGTGTCAGCGCATAAACAAGGACATTGCACTCCAGGGTGCTACAGCCTGAAAGCGCTCAAACGCGGGAGAACGAGAGCACGAGAGCAAAGCCAAACATTTGCCACTGCAGTTTTCATAAACTGCCAGGCAGCAACAGCAACAGCAACAACTACAACATGATACAGCAGCAGAGACAATGGCGATAAGCCGCTGCAGTGCAGGAGGACGAAAGGACGAAAGTACATGTTGCCATCGTGTGGTCCACAACTTGAGGCGCAAACTCATAAATTACAGGAGTGGAGCCCGAAAAAAAACAGCTCAAATGACTTTTGGCTGTGTGTGTGTGTGTGTGTGTTTGCTGCACTTTACTCTAGGGGCTCTTGGGCGTGGCCAGGTTTAGCGCAGCGTAGACCCTGCTAGCCATGTTGTCTGGCATGCCAAAGGCCAAGCATAATTCGAGCTAAACTCAATTTGTTTGTAATGTTTGAGACAACAGCAACGTCAGCAACAACTAAATAATACAAATACATATATATACATATAAATATATTTGTGTACATGGCACAAAAACAATTTTGCGCAATTTTACAACGCGCTAAACGAATCTGAAAATTGTTGCAGCCACTGAACAACAAAAGTAGAGGCAAAACAGAGGCACAACCGGAGCAGCAAGAACATCACGTCCAGCTGCCATTTGCCACAAAAAGGATTACAAAAAACGGCAGCCAAGTCTCTGTTTGTCGAGCATAACATATAAATTTGAGATTTGCTGCTAAGAGACAAAGAGCACTGAAAAGGACACACAACAGTATAAAATAACAGAGGATAGACTCTTTTATTAAAGCTTTCAAGCAGGACAACAGCTTTGAGCAAATAAGAGAGCGACTTAGAGAAAAGAGAGAAAAGGAAAGATGTGCAAAATTTAAAGAGCTACAAAAAAAGTAAAAGTTTTCACTGTCCGGTTTCACAGTTCGAACCAGTTCGCTGGCTCAATTGGCTTGTAAAGCTGATTTTTATTCGCTCCTTCTTGAGTCCATGTTGGGCTTCAATATATTATTTAATTTTAAATAAAGTAATCAGATTATTATTAATAATTGCTCGTTGTACTGAAAATATTGTCAGTCGTAAATATTTTCATATGCAAGATGCGGGCTACATTTGAGCTCTGCCCAAGTTATTTATACTTTGAAGCTGAGTGAAATACTCTTAGGGTTTGGTTCATAGTAAAGTATAACTTGGAGTTCCTGGTCTAAGCACGTTTTACTTGTCATAAATTCATAGTTTCTAAAAATATATATGCAAATAAGCGTGGAAGATTATTTTCACTAGCCAAGCTAAAATTTCCATAAAAATGCAAGTTAATGCCCCACAAAGTCTGTAAAATAATATCTTCTAAGAATAAAATATTTGCACAGCTTGTCATATCTTCTCGAAAGAGCAATATAAATAAGCTGCAAATTAATAATAAATAATCAAAATAACAACCAAACTTCACTTTGGTGTGCTGCATGTAAAAACAAATTCAATTAGGGCAATGGCCACAAATCATTTAAAAATTCATAAGAAGCAAGGACGCATAACTTTGAACTTGGCAGCACCTCAGGGTTTGCTTTAAGCAATTTTATGATAAAAAGTTATTGACTTTATATATATATATATATAGGATTTATGTCTAGATCTTTTAAGTTCATGCACACTGAAGGCATGACTGGCCCTTAGATAAAATTAAATGCAGCGCTGTTGCGCCTAAGCCCTAAACAATCAGCCATAGGCCAAAAAGTTGGGCCATTAAATTTGTCTAAGCTCTGCGATAAATATGAAAAATTAAATTTAATAAACCCACACACACACACACTCACACACGCGCGCGCGCAATGAAAGAGGAACAAGTCGAGTGAAATTAAGCGCAAAAGAGCAGTGCAAATGGCTGGAAAACACGAAGCGGCTAACTAAAAAGAGACGGCAGCAGGAAAAAACAACACCAGAGGATAACATACTATATAGACAGCAACATTTATGTGCCCGACTGACAGTTTCGTCCTTCCCCCTGTCCTGCGTCCATTTGGCCTTGACGCCAAGACCGGAACTTGTGCGCCTTTCAAATGCTGCAGCCACAAAATGTGTGCGACTCGTGAATTTCTCGGTCGAGGCGCATTTAATTTCAAGCACTAAGCTGGTGTCATGTGTACGTGTGTGTTTGAGTGCCTGTGTGTGCGTGTGTGCGTGTGTGTGTGCCGAAATTAGACTACATGCATAGATCCTTTCGCTTTATTATTCTTTATCGTGATGCTGTCTGCCCGTCCTTTTTTCTTTGCACTTTAACTCATATTTATTATCGCGCTGGTTTTTGGTTTCCTGCTTTCTGTGAAAGCCTAAAACTGCCGGAAAATGTGTGCATGTGCGTGTGTGTGTGCGTGTCCTTTTTGGCCCATTCCATTTCCCCCTTCCGTTTGTTTATTATGTGATTATGCTTGAGTTTAGCGCCAGCAGCGCGGGGAGTTTCTTTTTCATTCTTCCATTTTTTTTTCAGTTCTGTTCCGGATATTTTTGTTTGCAGGCCGGCGGCTGGATCTGGCCTTTCGCCTGCCCTGTTTATGTTTTTAAAACGCAAACGACCCAGGCCTCCTCATACTTTGTTATTGTGCTCCTCCCATTATTGTTGTTGTTATTGTGGCTGTCAGTCTGTCTGACTTGTAAATTACGTGGGTCAGGGGTCGCCGTCGCCGCCGTCGACATCGTTACAAATTACATTGTTACCAATGTTGTTTCCCCCTGCAAATGTTGTTGTTGCTGTTGGTTTTGGCTTTCAGGACAATGACAAGCTGCGCCCTGTGACATTTTTGAAATACTCCCACGACTGTGGCGGCACTTGAATTGCAGTTTAAAGCATGATAAATTGTGCGCTGACATGGAGTTAAGGCTTTAAAAGCAGCCGGCGACTGCTAACTTAATCAGCAGGTTAAAGCTCTCGTTTGGGAGTTAAGTTTTAATTTCTGGCCCTGGGGCGCAAGAATTTCTTTTTGATTCTGGCTCACATAACTGCAAAGTGCTTGAGGCATGTGAGTTCGTTGAGTTACATGGAAAGGAATTTGAAACATATTATTTGACTCTAGATTTGACAGTTCTATTGCGAATAGGTTCAATTGTGCGGAAGCGTGTGGGCTTTTAACTTGAATTGCTCTCAAAGAAGCCTGCCTGAGGCATTCCACAAATAATATTATGTTGGAATGCTGTCAAATACACTTCAAGTGCTTCAACTAATGTTAGATTTAATTATATATATATGCCAAAGAGCTTGACAAACAGATAAACAAACCAACTTGCACAGCCCGACATATGCGTGCGTGTGTGTGCGTGTGTGTTTGTGTGTGCACATGTTGTTGTGCAGCATTTGCCAAAGTAAACAACTACAGCAGCAGCAGCAGCAGCAGCCGTTAAAAAGCATTTCCAAGTCAAGCACAGCAGGCGAGCTGAGAATAGGTGCGGGGCAGCGTTTCGCATTGTTTGGCGTAAAGTTTGACGCAGTTTTTCGCTGCTGGGTGAAATGCTTACAAAACAGCGCGAGTAATTAACTGACTTGTCACATAAGCCGCATTAACACAATGTCACAAATGTCCTTGCAGCAGCAGCAGCAGCAGCAGCCCCTGCCCTTGCATGTCAGCAACATTACGATTACGTACGGTGTATGTCTGTGCCGCATGTGGCACATTTACATGCATATGTAATGTGCTCCCCGCTGGCTTATTAATTCTACTCTGGGCGTGGCACGTGACTTGCCACGCCCACAACTGAAAATGAGTGCAGAACTTTAACTGAAAAGTTCTTATTGTCTCGTACAAATTGTTTGCCATACTCCCAACTAATATCCAACGCGGATTTTGTGCACAAATTAATTCCAACTGGCTGAAAAGGAAAAAGTCTTTAAGTTTCCCAACAACAAGTAGATAGATAGATATATATAATGAGGAAAAATTATGCTCTCTTTATATGGTCAACTGACCTGTTAATTAAATCAGCCTCTGAGCCGTGTTGAATTGAGTTAATTTACAAATCCAATGCCCGCCAATGCCGCAAATTATCATCAATATTTTCTGTGGTCGCCCAAATTGAGCGGGAAAAATGACAAAAACAACATTACAAAAAATATATAAAAACAACCGGAATGCCTTTTGATTTAATTTTGTGGCTGGCGGCCATGGTGACAAGCGATATGGAAAAATAAAGTGAAAGAAATACATATTAAATTTAAATTAATGCAAATATCCGGCATATTGTGTGCAGCACGGGGCGTATGCGTGCTCGCTGTCAAGTATGTAAAGTGCAAAGGGATGGCAAAAAAAGTAGTTGGCAAGGATTGAAAATAAAATAAGCTTTTTTTTTTTACCAAAAATCACAAATAAATACGTCAAATATGCATAAAATAATATGTGCCAGATATTGCTCAAGTTTCGGTATTTGCAAGAATTTTTTTCTCCGGCATACCGCGGGGCGTATGCTGGGGCGTAATTGCTGCACAATGCTTAAAGCAAATAGAGTTACGTGTTTATTGACATGCCGAACACGTGTTTTATTTTGCTTTGTTTTTCAACTGAAAGATTGATACAAATATTGAATATTGCAAGCAAATATTTTTATACATTTTTCATACGATGTTATGGAATAATTTAAATCAACAATAAAACCAAATTATTTTTAACACATTTCGAGGGAGTTCTTTTTATAGGTGACAACGTACAACTTGAGCTAACAGCGCACGCACACAATTATCACCTGGGAATATTGATTATTAAGCGCATTTCGAATGCCATTTAGGCACGCGCCGCCCCTCCCCGTGCCCCCAATCT